AACATTTCCCTTGTCTGCTTCTGAGTATCACTTCACTTATAATTTGTTCATTTCTTAATTTATTTTTGCTGCCCATTTGTTTTCAATGCAACCCTCGGCTAATCTGAATCTGGTTTGCCAAATTTTCCTCGAAGGCCGCTTATCATTACTGATGGATGTGCACTCTGCTGTGTTATACAGTGCGAATTTGATCCAGATCAGTCTGTGACATATAATCACCTTTCTATTGAATTAGCTGGAGTGGATGAGACAGTGTTTGTGTCAGCGTGTGATTTTTTTTAAGTTGGCAGGAAGACAACAGATGATATTTGTCTGTCTAAAAGCTGAAATGTTGTGAACAGCTGATACCTGGTTAGGCCCAGTGTCTGCCAATTTACAGGCAATCCAACACAATTTTTGAACCAACAAAGTGAGTTTATACCACAGTGGTGCTTTATGCCGTGTAGCTCAGGGGTTTTTTAATGCAGTACTAGGAGCCTGGATTTACTGAACAGCATAACCACAGTGCGGTGAGTCTCCGGCACAGTTTCCATTTGTTCTTTGAACTTTGAACAGTCCTTTGTGATCCAACTGAGTCCTGTTGGTTGATCATTGCTCTTCACATTCTTACCACTGTTTTTCTCTTTTAAATAAAATCAGTTGGTAATAAAGGTGAAAACAAGTTGGTACTGACTGTAGACATTTTTAAAGTTCTTCCATTTTCTCAAGTATTGGTCATTGTGTTTATCACATGTAAATACTCACTTTTTTATTTATCATCTGCTAGAACCTCTTGCAGGAAAACAGCAGGTAAAATTGCAGATGTCAGTGTTGTTACATGAAATATTTGTAAAATAAACCATACTGACTCTCCTCATTTTTTGTTAATTTCCCTTTTGGATTACTGTCATCAACCCTTAGACTCTTGTAGTTTTAAAACTGTGTTAAAAAGAATCTCCACTTCTGTTTGTGTTAGTACTGATTTTTTTTTTTTTTTAATAGTATTGCTTTTTGTAACATGCTTTTCTAGAATGAGTAGATGTATAAGCCTGCTATCTACTTTGTGGAAATCAGTTATCAAGCTCTTCTTATCGTAGTTTTATATCAATAATATATGTTACACTCTTCTCCTTAAGTAGTTGGAAGGACTTCTTATCTTGTAAAAAAAACTGGCTTCAGTTCATATTGGTAAAGTACAGCTTACGCAACTTGTTAGGAAAAATCCTAACTGTTTATTTTTTAAAAGTTTCTATTGTCTTCCTAATATGTTTTCATTAAAACGTTTCAGCTATGATAAGGATTGAACAGAGAGCTAGTAAGAAAATGAATGTTATCAGAAACAAAACAGAAAAACATTCTTTATGCCTAGTTTGCCAAAATGGTTAAAGTGATATTTAATGGTTTATACTTAACTAAATTACCTTGCTGTCATTTTACCCCCATGACTCCTGAGCATTGTGGGAGTTTGCCTGGGGTGTGTGTCTAGTGAGGTGGGAACTCATCACAAATAAGTCATGAAGCCCTTGACTGTCACCATGGTGCTTTTCCTGTGGGAAATGCTGGGAGGCAGCAGTGTCAGCTCTGGAGCCAAAGAGGAAGAGACAAGGAAGAGAGGATCCTCTGATGACACTATGAAATTACTTTGCTGAGGAAAAAAATGCATCTCAGGGGTAGCTAGCGTGCCAAATCTTAAGCACTGGCAGTTGTTTGCACTCCCTTGGACATTTTGGTATCAGGACATTTAATTTCTGTCCTTCTCATGAAAAACACTATTCACTTCTAATCAAACTTGGAGAAGATTTTAACATTTTGCTTCTTGCATTTGAGAATGGCATTCTTCTCTGTTGGTTCTGTAGAAGCTCTGCCCCCTTAGTGTATAGCTCAGTGTCTTCTTATCTATGTCAGCAGGCACAGGGTTGTATGGTTTGTTGCAGTACCTGGGAATTACTGGCATTGCCTTACACTGGAAAAAGTTACTCACTATTGTGTTTTTCACTTCCCACAGGTTGTTTTATATGTATTGTTTTGCCTTCTTTAAAGCATGCAATCAACAAGTAAATGAAATTTATGGCATTCTCATCAAGATTTAAGATGGTCTGCTCCACATTTAAATTCTTTGAGGATTCATAAAGCAGATAAATAGAGGAGGTAGGAGAGAATTTCCCAGGACAGTGGAGGTTCAAGTGAGTGAGGGAGAAATGATCTGTCCTCTCTGCTGTTTCTCAGCACAATTGTGGCCTGGAGATCATGTTTCTGTAGGAGAGGTGGGATGAGGAAAGGCTTGGTGCAGTATGGTCTGATCTTAAAAGATTATTGTTCCATGATATTTTATAATTAGCTCCTTATGGCTTCACATCATCTGTTAGATAGTGACCTACTTCATACTTTTTCCATTTGAGTCTCTCCATGATTATTCTCATATGACTTATCTGATGTCATATGAATTTAATGTTTGGCCTCAATTTGAAGTTTGGCCATGACAGTTTGATACAGTGCTGCTGGAAATATCTGCTGGGCTTGTTTGGAGTGACAGGGCTTGGCTGTCAGTCCAACCTTGGTCTTTATATTTTTGCTGGGAGAGTAACATTTTCTAATAATCACTTTTGTCTGTTTTCTAGCATTGGAACAGTAGTGATCATAGACATTTTAGCAGATGTTTATTCAGCAAAGATAAAGATGACAACATCAACATTGACTTCCAAACACTGATTCCCTACTTTCATATCTACCTGCTTAGGTAGCATTTGATGCAGTGCCCAAATTCCTGTAACTAAGGAGTGTTAGAGTTGCAGTGTTGTATGGGAATTTGAAATTGCCTTCACTGCTTAGTTGTTAGTTACCTTATTTTAGGTCAGTAATTGCACAAACCCTCACTGCATTTATCTTTTAATTGGAGGGGGGAGGGGGGCATCCAAATAATGTGAGGAAAGGTAATATACTTCACATGTGTTACATACTTCACATCATTGGATTGTGTATTGGAGCTAAAAGATTGCCCCCCTCCCACCAAATCCCTTGCACTTCTGGTCAAGTTAGTGCTCTTGCAAATGCAGCATATATATGATGTAGCTCTGCACCTGTTTCAAAATAACTATGGAAGAACAAGATGCTGTGTTTTTAAAGATGCTTCAGAAACCCAAAATAAACATTTGGTGACTTACAAATAAAGACTGCAGGATACAACATAGGATATGTCATCAACTTCAGCATCATCAAGATTATGTAAAACCAATCTGTAGGAATCTATGAAGTTTCCCATCTCTGCTCTGTTCCATGTTGGTTTTCAGTTTGAACATGTACACATGGTTTATGTTTGTATTGTTTTATCCAAATGTATTTTTGACTCCTCTTTCCCATATTACCAGGTTAATTTTGCAGTAAAACTGTCATGCCATATCTAACACTTCTGTAGCTTGATAAGCAGTTGTACTTGTTCATTTACAGGATGTAAGTGCATCTGCTCATGTTTTAGTTCTGGTCACTTCTGAAAGCAGCATATCGAAAACAGAATATTTAAAAGCCATGACTCTTAACCTCCATTTATATTGCTAACATTCTGTACTGGTTATATTTCTGGGAAAAAAAAAAAATATATATTTTGACTGTCATGGCCTATTTAGATTATTCAGTTGCTTAATGTGTATAATACATTTCATGCTTTTTCTGTTCATAGTTACTATTTAAAAAAATCTCTGAACCTGGCAGCTAGCTCTTGTACATTATTTTTTCTCATCAGAACAATATTTTCAAAAGTGGAAATGGAGAAGATTAGGCTTTTCTGTCCATTTTTAGTACATAAGCAAAAAGCTATTTTTTAAAAATAGTGCCATTCAGCTGCTCCGATATGAAATTGGAAGACCCTAACATATGCTCAGCACTTTGGACAGTAAGGCCAGCTGCTTATCTCTGCATGGTATTTATGGCTTTTGGAAATATTTCTTTGTCCTTGACTGCCTTGTGCTGAGTACTTGTACACTAAGCATAATGAATTAATACAAGCTCTTTCCCAGTTTCAGATATTCTGACCTTCAAGATGTGCAAAAGAAATAAGTAAAGGAATTGATAACAGTGATGTTATTGCTTATATTTAGATCTTACAGGTGTTTAACAAAGCGTTGTATATGTGATTTTTATAGCATTTATGTTTTGGTTAGGAATCTCATTCCTATTTAAAAAAATAGGAAAATTGAGGTAAAGAGTTGAAGAGGCCTATTCAGAGTTACAGAGCATGTCTTAGTACATGTTAATGATTTAAGGTGTTCTGCATTTGAAACACAAGGATACATGTGTTTCTAATATGTATCTGCATTTTTTAATGCAGTATTAGGCAGCAGGACAGTGTAATTACTTGCCTGTTATGTTTGGAATATGATTGTGGTGTCCCTTTGAAGATACAGGTTTTATAATAATAATAGGCTTGATATCATGAATAAAAAATCCTTTAAGGTTAGACAACTGGAAGAAATTGTGCTCTGAAATTTTTGCATTAGAATTTAACAATACCAATATTTTTAGAAAAGATGGCTATTATTTTCTGTGATTTTAGTTATCTTACAGCTCATACTGATTCTGAAGGAGACTCTGAGGAAGAAGAGGGATGGATGAAATCACCCAATGCCATTGTGAAATCAGAAGAAGGCTTATTTAGTCTTTTACAGCAGGTGGACAATTTGCACAAGGGTTCAGAAGATGATAAAAAAGAGGCCTTCAGACTGCTGCTTGAAAAAGATGACAAGGTATTAATGGGTAAACTTAATGTTATGTTGCTATTAACTTATGCTTTACACTGCTTTTGAGAACTTCCTTAATACAAACATTAAAATGCACACATCTTCATGGAAGATGAAATTTTAGGCGTATTTTTAAAATACAGTGAAATAGAAATATTTCAAGGTGGTGTCAATATTCATGTTGGGTGGGCATGGGAGTTTTATTATTTTATATCCCATCCAGACTCGATAACTTTGTGGCTTTGTTTGATGTATGTATTCTTGCATGCGGCAAAAAAAGATCATGGGCTTTTTCTATGTAAATGATAGTTACTTTTGCTGCTTTTAGAATGGTCTATGTGAGAAAGTCCTGTGGAATTCAGTAGTAACCAGACCAAGCGTTCTTAAGAAATCAAACTACGGTAGTCTGCTTATACCTTTCTGGTATACTTCATGTAAATTTTTCCTTTGACTTTACTATGCACATATGTAACTCCAGATAAAATTTCAAAGTGGTTTGGTGTGCAGTGCTTAGTTCAGTGTAACAGTTTCTTCTGGTTTGGCAAACATTAGTTGTGATTATATTTTCATGTACATATTGAAATACCCAGGAAGGTAGATGAGATACTACTAGTGAGTGAGTGCGGTGCTTATGGCATACCTAAAGAAAGTACGCATCACATCATTCAGGGGTCTGTTTTTGCTTTACTGGATTACCTTTTTATTTTTTCTAATAAAAGAACTTTAAAACTGATTTATGAAATAAAACCTCTTTAGACAGCCCAGGGTATTTCCGAAAGCTGTCATCTCCTTTGGTCATGAAAAATTGGTCATCTGGTTTTCACATAAACAAAAACTAGTATAGAAGGATGCAAAATAACCAAAAATTTATGCCATGTTCCGATAACCCACTTTAAGCACTATGAAAGAAAACTGTTTAAATCACATTCTGATCAGTTTAGTTACCCAGCTGTCCTCTACTTTCAGTATGAAAACTGTGTGGACTTTCTTTGGAGACTTGCACGTGCTTATGGAGATCTTTTTGAGATGACTACTGATGCTGAGGAGAAGAGGAAATATGTTACTGATGGTAAGCAGAGGAAAAATGTTTGTGTAGAATGCCATCTGAATGTAGTCAAACATGCTTTGAATTTTGGTTAAGATTTCCAATCCAATAAATGGGAGTATTTGTACTGTAATAATAATGTTTTGTGCAATAAACTGCCACAGTATACAACTTCAGTCCATTCTTTCCTCACTGGAGAAATCCAAAATTGATGAAGAAGTAGTATTGTGGGTCACAGCTGAAGGTTGTTGACTCTGGATGGTGCCTTAAAATCCTGTATTTTGTTGAGAATCAGATGGATACAGAATGTGAGAAAAGACAGATGCTGTCAGCGCAGTTTCTTAATTACATCTTTGGGAGAGTGAGAGGAATAAGTAAATGCCAAGACAAAGTCAGAATTTATTTTTCTGCTTTCCTGTGGCAAAGGAGCACTCCTGCATATCCGCAGCCTCTTTTGTAGTGATGGTGGGGATGAAACTTTGTGAATCTGGAAAACCGGTTGACCAGAAACAGAGGTCATGTGTGACAATTGATGTTGCTTTCAGGCACCTCTCCCCATGTGTCCTGTTTGACAGCTTAACCTCAACAAGGTTCTGATTTTCTTCTTCACAGCACTTTTTCTTTGTTGCTTTTAAAAGCATTGCCCTTTGTTTCACTGTCTGGATGCATGTTGGCTAGAGGTACAGTTTACATTTCCCTTTTTGTTTTGGACCTTCTTCTCTTTATTACAATAAACCCTACATCTTTTCTACCTGTGTCACTCTCCTCCAGTCAACACACTGTTCTTGCAATAGTCCTTTTGCCTGTATCTGAGAATACTCCTCTCTCTCCTTTGTTTCTCCGTTGCCTCCCCCTTTTTTGCTGCACCAAATTCAGATTTTGTAAGTGTATTCCAAGTTCAGGTTATTTTGTCTTTTGTGACTCTTTTCCCATTTTCTACTTTTTGTTCTGTTACCAGTGACAACGTCACTGACAAAGCAGTTTTGCCTGCCCTTTGTCATACCTTTGTGCTGTCATTACATATTCCATAGCCAGCCTCAGCTTGTCCAAGGTCCTTGTCCTTATCCTTTTGCCATTTAAATACTCATGAACACTTGCACTGTCTTAGCTACTTAATTGATACAATCTTTGCTTTATTAGCAACTTGGCTTCTTTGTATGGAAATCACCCAGTGCAGTGAGGATTATGACACAAACTAAATTACAACAGTAAACTCTGTTGTTGGATCCTTTGCTTTTACCAGTGACTACATGTAACCTCAGCTGATGAAAGATAATGGCATAGCAAAAGACAAGCAGAGATAAAGAATGATGGAATGAAATTGGGTCTTAGGTGTTGAGTAACCAGCCTAGTTTGGCGTATTCTCATGAAGTGGTGGGTGGCGGCAGCCTTTTTCATCTCAGTTTTTGGAAGTGGTGCCGAGGGATTGAGACTGTGGGGGAGCTGGCAGTAGTTTTGTGGGTTTTTTTCATTCCACTGGGTTGGAGGACTGTGTATGCTGTTCTTTGTTTTTATGAAGTTAACTTGCAATACAGAAATGTCAGTGTGGCTTAATTGGTTGCAGCTGAGACTTTGCAAACAGCAAGCATCTCCTCTGAACTTCTTACTGGGAGCGTGGGTTTGATCAAATCACCTACTGTCATCTTTATTCAGTTAAAAGTGGAACTTAATGGAAGTCTTTGTGCTGGAAAGGAACTTCGACTAGTTCTTTCCTGTACCCAAGGCAGGAAACAGCTTTTCTGGTTCTTGTGACAGGTGCTTCTCTAGCCTGCTTTTGAGAGTCTTCAGTTTTACACGCAACATCGCCTCCATTGGCAGTCCAATCCTTCCCTGATTTAGCTCCATCTGAACTGGATTTTAAGAGAAAATATTAAAATTGCACCCATTTTTATATATGTATGTATGGGTATGTAAATGATGTAAAGGATGTTATATTGTCCATCTAGATGTTTACAAGAGCAGGAAGCAATTTTTTCTTTGCAGCTGGAGTATATCAGGTTGCTTTGTTCTTGTGAGTTGCCTAAAATGTGGAAGAGTACAATAAATCCTTCAATATATTGTATTCCATATACAGGAAAGATTAAAGCTGAGAAGGCTGTTCAGCTGGATGCCAGGAGTGCTGAAAGTCACCAGTGGTAAGTTTGAGAAAGTGTGCATTTCTTGCAAAGTTATATGTATTTATCAAATCTAACAAAAAATCCTATCTATTTTTGGCACTACATAGTGCCCACAGTAGGTTACATTTATCATGCTGCAGTATGACATCAACTTCATAAATTATTCATTAGTATCTTTTCATAGTTTTATGGAACTCAAACTCATCGGTTGCAGCTAAAAATTACGTTGAAGTATTCTGTGAAGCATTTACTATAGCATGTGAAACAACTCAATAACCATACTTCAGTACGTACCATGAAATGTAGAAGGGAGTATTTGCTTAAAACAGTGTATTATTGCTCAGAGAAGCCATAGTTTTCCATTTACCTTCTCTTTCAATACTTGGCAAAATAATGTCATTTGACCTTGTATTTTGTCGTTTGTTTTTTTTTTTCTTGTAATAATCTAAACTCTAATCATTAATTAGACAATGAGAGGACTATGGAAGTTTCAATTAACTTCTCAGTTTTTCTTTTATCATATCATTTTCCTCCACGCTTGGCACCTGGATTAATTTTGTAGACCTTGCCAGGATTAACAAACTCTTTGCAAATATAAATATTTTTTATCAAATCAACGTTATCAGGTAAAAGATAATTCTGCTGAGTTCTAGCTGATAGTTCCTCACCGTATGATTTTATTAATCAATTTTAATAAGCTACTGATTTCTTTTCTAATACTGTTAGCTTTTACTTTCCATTTTCATTTCTATGTTCTTCATTAACACTGTCATTACACATGTAGGGTAGGATTTCACTTAACTTTTACATATCTAAACCAAATCCTTTTCTCCCAGGCTTCACAATCTAAAAAGAAGTAGCCACTTCTGGAGTAGAGTTCATCTGAGTCCATTTTGCCCATCTGCATTAGAGTGAGATGAATTTCTTCTGAGGTTCAGCTGACAACATCTCTGTTGCCAATAGAGAGACCACATGTCCACTAGCTCAGGTTTAGATACTTGATTAGACACAGGTGTTTTCATTTAATTAGGTAACTCTCTGGCTTGGTCTCTCTCTCCTAAACTTCAAAGATGGCTATGTTATTGCTCCACACTGTGTTCCTGTGAGTGTTGCCATATTTCTATGGTTCTTTTTTTCCTTCTGTTTATAACAACTAGTGATCCAGGCACCCACTTTGTAACAATGGGGTGCTGTGGGCATCGTGACTAAGCTGCACTGTCACAGACAGGTTTGCATTTGCTCTTTCTGATGTCTTTGAAGTAATGATGATGCCTGCTGGGAGGTGAAGCCTGGGCCCCAGGCAGCTATAACGTGGCATAGGAGCCTTTGTTTTTGGCCTTACCAACTGCTTGTTAATTCCCGTCAGCAGCAGGTTGCTACTATGGCAGCAAAACTAACAGAAGAGGGTCATCTGAGCATCGCTCCTCAGTGCAAGGTGATTTGAAGCCTATATAGCTTGAACACCTGCTGAAAACAATTCACAGCCATTTCTGCTGTGAATTTCTCCCTCCGTTCCTACCCAGCCCACAAGACCAGGAAAATCTCCCAGTATAAATACAATTTCACTGGCAGAAACTGTGTTGATAAAAGCTTACACGTTGTTCAGGCAGATGTAGGTGGTCTGCCTGTCCAGGTGTGAGATCCTGGACTGGCAGGCACATCTAGCAAGGGAAGAATTATGAGTGCAAGGAGATGTGTTCCAGAGGTTAGCTCAGAAAGACTATTTGAGAGGTTTAAGAGGAAAATCTTATGTTTTGTAAGCATGTTCTTGTAACAGGCAATGGATTTCTATATGGTTTACAGTTTTCATCCTTTTTGTATCTGGGCTCTGAGTGAATGTGAGGGTTTTATCAGTTACTGTTGAACTGGTGGCTTTCTAGTGATGTAGATGGACACCACAAATCTGAATGGTTTGGTATACTTTTTTTCTGAGTATTTTATCTGCTTGTCTTTCTTTTCTGAAGTCTTTCTGA